TATGGCTGTAACAAGGCTTTGCTTCAAATTAAGATTAATTTAGGTTTAAACACATCGCGTTGTATTGGATCAAGTATATGATTGAATATGATTTCTTGTTTGTGTCCTCAGGTCATTGGACTACCGAAATATTCCTTGAAGTAGACGACTTGTGAAGAATTCGATGTCTTATTATCGTTTTGTTTGTTTGTAGTTAATGCCATACAGTAACTTCCTTTTCATTGTGAAAAAATATAACCAAAAAGGAAAATGGAACATTTTCTTCGATGAGCTGTTTATCTAATTTCCTCAAGCAGGCAGGAAATAGGAACGATGAATGCGGCAAGCTGAGAAGTAAGAAATTATGTGTATCAGTGGTGAGGAAAATAAGAAATCAATTCATCCCTGTCCTGTAGTATAAGCTTTGTGAAAGTGAGGAGCCTTTGTCCCTACTACCCACTCCTCGCCGGGGGGCGATGGAGTCGCAGAAAGTGGCTGAAGACATTAAAACGAATACAACATATAGAGTACTCGAGGGTTTAATATTGTGTTTAAAACACACATGGTTATCTTTCCCAGCTCAAAATATACAAGTTATTCTAGCATTTGATAAAGCGAAATCCTTTTGCTATATGACAAATCATTTGTTGACTAAGCTCAATTCTTCTTTCAAAATAGCTGAATATTAGTCTCGTTCCTTTTTCACGTCTTAAAACGCATAAAAAAAGGAAATCGGCCCATATCTTGCCATCTCGACCTCACACTTGGTCAAAAACGCATAAGCACCGAGTTTTGTAAGTGTTATCTTGTCATCGCTCGATAAGGAGTTATTAAAGATGTTGATTATTCCTGTCGTGATTGCCGGGCGTGACATAAACAAAGCGATTCAGTCCCCATGCTCCGATGCTCTACTACTGGGTTACAGAGAACTGTGTTGTAGAATGGGCTCTTAGTAGGTTCTTCTGTCACACACTTTCTTGAAACCAATAGGATGAGCAGCATATTTCCACACAACCCCGTCAAATAGTAGAGTAGCCTTGACTGTGCTCCAGTGTTCAGGTGTAAAGCACGCGCGAAGCGGCGATAGCACGAAAGAAGTGTAGGGAGATAACGTGACGTAGTCGGCTGTTTCTACCCACTTTTTGAGTGGGTACACTCATCGATACTAAACGCCAAAATGTCCAGTAAGATATATTTACACAATGTCAAGGTCAGTACAAAGTCCTACAAACCTGACTGCAATGGAGACCATGCGGAACATTAACATAACTTTTCCATCGCCGCTCACGTGACGGCGTTCTCGACCCAGTTTCTTATCGGCATTTTTGCCAAGAACGCGTGTAACCAAAAAAACAATCAAATCACCTGGCACCCTCCCTCCCCTCCAGCCCCCACCATCCCCAAATTAAAATGACCGCAAAACACTACGGTACGCCCCTGCTTGGAAACCCATTATAACATAACGCCGATTCTAAGGGCGTTTCCATGAAAATAACTCTTATCGCTCACTTCACAACGCTATTACCGAGTTAAGAAGGATTATGTTAGATACGGAATTTAACCTCCAACTCAGAGGTCTGAGAGTTTAGTTAACTATTTCCCTCATTTCTTCCAAAAGTTTAGTTTTAGCTTTGATCAAGCCGTAAGTATCTCTAAGAGTAAAAATCCGTACCAAACTCTATGTTTTGAAAAACTAATGGTATTCGAAAGGTGCGCATATATTTTCTAATGGAATCTAATTCAGTTCTGAAGCTGTTTACTGCTCGGTTGGTTGAATTTTCTCCCCGTTACACCAGCATAACAGTTTAACAAATTCCTTTCGAAAATGAGGATTTGTTGTAGCGTAAATCACGGGA